ATATAATATAATATAATTGTGCTGTCAAGTGAGAATGTGAGTGAAGGGATCTTTGCTGGTAAATTAGTTAAACAGAAATGTGTTGGGCAGCAGGATGCTCAGTCTTCAGCCTTTAAGGCACGTCTGCCCTGTATGTGCAGGAAGACTGAGCAGAGAGAAGGAGAGGATGAGGAGGAGAGAGGAGAGGGAGGAGGCTGTCCTCATCAAAGGACCTCTGGGACTCTGCAAGTTAATGAGACCCTGAAGCCCTCAGACCCTGAAAGTGACACGCAGACAGAAGGACAAACAGGTTGATAGACAAGAAGACACCTGAGGACAACACATTCGCTGGATCTGAAATGACTTGGCGTGAGGTGAGCATCTTCTTTTGATTCTTTTGTTCCTGGTGGATAATTTCACTTCAACGTGAGCTCACGTGAGCCTGATATGTTATAGTATATTGCCTGTAGCTCACCTCTTATATTAAAAAGCAACATATCATCAGCATATAGGATGATATTTTCAAAGATGCTACAAATCAGGTTAAAATATTAATAAAAACTAATTGTGTTATTTGAAAATTTAAATTATAAGATTTATAACAGCAAAACATCTGATAATATACTAAAATTAATGCATTTGAAATTGTTTTGCTTACTTGGTTTTGGTGCTGTAATGCTTTTTATGTTTCTAAATGACACGTCTGAACTGCAGGAAGATTAATTTTTCAACAGGATTCTTCCTCTATGTAGCCAGGATTTTCTAATAACTTTTAAACGTGGTTTGGTGTGTCTGCAAAAGCAAAAATCTTAACTTCAGATGATACATTTTCTGTGGTGTCACAGTGGTGGGAGCAAATTGTTGCTGCAAAACTGTGATAAATGAGGGGAAATTTGCATTTTTAACCCTGACAATTTATTTCCTTTCATGATGTCAAAAATGCTGACTTTTGAACAGCATACACGCCACAGGAAGCCTCTCTTCCTCACATAGACAACAGATATAAAAGGTCCAAAAAGTGGATGGATATTTTGATATTTTAGTCTACAGGATAGTTTTTATAAACTTCACCAGCTCAGCTTAAGAGCACTGAATCAAAAGAAGAAAATCTCATCAAATCAAAGGCAGATATTGTTAGCTTTTAGCCACAAACTTTGCAGGGGTGCCACCAAAGGGTGGCCAGGGGGGCAAAGGCCACCTTCAAAAAATTGGTATGTATGGTATTCTGTGTATATTTATTGTATAAAATATGCAGTATACTGTATAAATTGTATATGGCTTACTGTATATACTAGTGGTGTCCCTATTCTGATACTAGCAATTTTATAAGTAGTACAACATGCCCCGACACCCCTAACCGATATTAATACAATGTATTCAAAGGTTTTCAGTTACATGTTTAGGAAGATTATACAAAAAAGATTTTTTTTTTAAATTTTTTTATCAGTATATACCGTAAATCATGCAGTATATTTTAGTCTGATCCAGTCAGTGGCCATAGACCCATCAAGAAGGAGAGCTGCCTTGTTCTAAATAAAAAATAGTGTTTTTAAAGTCACTGTGTGATGTTTAATTTCTAACTCAGTAAGTACTCAGTATCAGCGAGAACCCAAACTGAAGTACTTGTACGCGGTTTGAGAAAAACTGGCATCGGGACACCCCTAGTACATACACTGTATAATATACACATATACATACAGTAAATCCAGTGTACAGTATGTAGTATACTGTATACACTGTACACTGTATTGTACACAGAATATACTGGTCTATACCAGGTCTATTCAACTAAATAGCACAAGGGGCCACAGTTACTCAAAGCCAACAGTTTAGGGTCTGAACATCCATGGGGGAGGGGTTTGTGTGGTGGGTTTGTCTGATGATGAAATTGCATTATTTAAAAGAACAGAAGAAAAGAAGTAATATCTTTTATCTTTTAAATCTGTTCACTTGGTTGCATTGGATCATAAATTTAAAAATTACAATTGATATACATTTTATTTTTGTATTTTAGGTAAAAATAAACAAATTGGTAGGGTGGATGCTCATTGGTGAGTCAGATGGAAGTTAGTCATGGGCCGGATGTGGCCCACAGGCCATGAGTTGAATAGCCATGCTGTATATTGTAAATTGTATTCTGTAAATAAAGTATTTAGTTATGTAATTGATGTAAATGTTCTTGATGATGTCTAGTCTTCAAACAATCTTAAAAACAGTTCCAGGATGTTTTAGGGAGAAAAGCAATTACTGTCATGTTTTTAAGTTAATGGTTTAAATGCAAATGATCACATTCTTTCATTAAATATATTTTATAGTCTTTTAAAGAAATACATTTTAAAAAATCTGTCTCCAAATATTTCTCACCTGATAAAATTTACTTAAAAACTGATTCCAAGTGTTTTGAATGGATTAGGTTTGAGGGAGCTTTGTTTGTGTCTCTTCTCTCTTCCCGAGGAGCTTCGTAGTCGGCAGTTCTGGAGTGCCATGCTTGCAGAGCTGCTCGGCACCCTGCTGTTAGTGACTGCTGTTCTGGGCGCCTCTGTTCCGGGCCCTGAGGAGATCCCTGGAGGGCCCCTGTACCCGGCGGTAGCAGTGGGTGCGGTCATTGTTGCACTGGGACACTGTTTCGGAGAAATAAGCGGAGCACAGGTAAATCAATTAAATTAGAGCAGTAGAACAACAAGTACTGGACCCTACTGGACCCTTTAGGGGACATGTTTTTATCTCTGATCAGGTGAACCCTGCTGTGACTCTGTCTCTGTTGGCCACCCGGAGGCTGGACGTTCTGCGGGCCCTCGTTTATGTCGCCGCTCAGTGTTTGGGGGCCTGTTTAGGAGCTTCGGCCCTCTACCTCGCCCTGCCTGTTCGGACCACTGCAGACCACTTTGTGAACAGGGTCAGTTCCCTGGAGGTCGCTTTAGGACTGCTGGACAGTTTAGATACAAATGTTATTTTTGTCATGTCAGATTCATGTAGTGTATGTTCTTCATGCAGGTGCCCGCAGAGTTGAACGCAGGGCAGGCTCTGGGCGTTGAGGTTCTGTGCACCTTTCAGATGGTCTTCACCGTCTTCTCAGTGGAGGACCAGCGGCGGAGGGAGAGCCCAGAACCAGGAAATCTGGCCATCGGGTTGGCGCACACTGCTGGAGTGATGATAGGGGTGATGAAATGTTTGATTTCCACTTTGATTCTTTTATTTCCTTCCACTCAAACCAGACCGGTTGTGATGTCTGAACACACTCCACCCTGCTGCTGTTTATTTATTTACTGTTGTATGCCGTCACAAGGCAGGCCAGCCTACAGTAACCTGTTAGCAACATATTTTATGAGACACTGAACAAATTTTACTGTAATGCAACTTTCAGAAAGTAAATGTTACAGTACAAATAATTCAATTAAAGATGGCCACCATGACTAACTGATAGACAAACATAAACGTCACAATAACTTTGTCATTAATTATATTTATCTGTATATACATATATGTAGTTATTCTAACTATTGTTTTCCTGTTTATAGTGCCTTTCATACATTTTCTTGCAATCTAAGAACCATTGGCATGCTACTTTAACCAATAACATTTGAGACTTTTGAAAAACATTTGACTTTCTTTAAAATAATGATCTTCTTAGAAATACAGAAGATTGACATTTCTTCAGTAAAAAAAGTTTTGTTTTAAACCTGCTTCAGCAAACTTGATTTACTTTTGTTTACTTGTGATAATTTTAGCTTTTAACTACTTTTCTGCTCTTTTATAAAGTTTTCCAAATTTTAGCCTTAGCATCTGCTTTATACAAAAATTAACATTTAGTTATTGTTTTACTAAATTTAGCTTAATCGTTTGTTTGGCTGTTTTAGCTTGTTTTGATAATTTTAGCCATTTTACTCATTTGAGCTTTTAGAGCCTGTTCTGTGTTTAGTTTTTGACTTTTAGCCACTCTTTTGACAGCCAGTGTTCGTAGCCTGTGTAGTCAGTGCTTTTACTAAATTTAGTTTAATCGTTTGTTTAGCTGTTTTTAGTTTCTGTTTTGCTAATTTCAGGTTTTTGCTAATTTTGGCTAAATAAATTATTTTGCTATTTGTAGCCAGCATTTTTGTAATTTTATTAAACAATATTATAATAGACTGATAAATGGCACAAAGGTTTTGATTTAAACAAACCAACATGTTTTACATGAGTTAGTAGGACTTATTATGTTTGTCCATCAGGCTCGGTTCTCTGGTGCCAGCATGAACCCAGCCCGCTCTCTGGGTCCGGCCATCGTCACTGGGTTCTGGGAAAACCACTGGGTAAGAAACACTTTTACCAACACTCATTTATTCCAGCCAGTCAGTGACGGTCCAACCAGTCCCATGAGAATCCTGGACCCGCACTGCTTCCACTATTTAAATGAAATACACAATACAGTATGTTTAAAGATGTCACATTTGTACTGTAATCCTTGAAATGAACTACACAGAACTCCAAAACCTCCCTGGGTTTAACTCTTACAGGCCTGTAAATATATCAGATACATACATAAGGGTAAAGTCCCATAATTATTTAAATGTCCGAACATTTCTCTGTTCCACACCTCCAGGTCTACTGGATCGGTCCAGTCCTCGGTGCCTTACTGGCCGGAGTCTCCCACGAGTTCTTCTTTGCACGCAGCGCCTCTCGCCACAAGCTGGTGGCCTGCTTGACCTGTAAGGACATCGACATTGTAGAGACGGCCAGCATGACCGGCTCGTCTCTGTCCACGGTCACGCAGAGCGCCCTGAGGGCCAAGCAGGCCACCAAGCAGGAGGGCAACTGAAGCAGGAGACTAAAAAGAATGGATATTATTAGACATGATGGTGGGCACCAAAGAAAAGTGAAGTACGTGGTGAGGTGACAGTGGAAATATTTTCCGTGAAGGTTCTGTGTAAAGAGTATGAACAGTTAATATCTTACCTGCAGTAGTTAACTTTTGGAGCCATCTCGTTTTTGTTTCGGACGGTCGTATTGATGAAAACGTTCAGAGGACACCTGTCAATCAAGCCATTAGGCAACAAATCAATTAGCAATCAATATTAAATGACTGGTGACACGCCCCCTGTCTGCAGGAAATGTGAATGTCTAATGTCTCTGAAAACACAGTAAACATCACAACATTCACTATTACAGATGTTAGGTTTGTTTTTATTTCCCTCAAAGAACCCCCCTCCCTTTTTTTAACTTTCAAGCCGAAGAGATCCCCCATTCCTTGCTATTCCCCACCTCTCCCAAAGAGACCTTTATCTCTTTCTCAAAATAATAAAATCATAAAGTTAATACTTACCAACCCTTATTTGTCAAATGAAATAAAAAGAAACTGAGTTATTCAGTTATAATTATTCAAATAGACATGATTTGGTGATTTTTTTATATACAATGATATGATATGTTCACATTTCAATTCATTCAAAAATACTTTATTAATCCTAAATAGGAACGAAATGTTGTTGTAACTCATCCTGGTTTCTTTAAAAGAGTTGTTATAGATGCTGATGGCTGAAGGCAGCAGTCGATCTGATAATGAGGGTGCTCAAGATCCTTCTTTGGATGATGAGCTTCAGAGGTTCTGGAGGAATACTGCCTCTGAGAGGACAGGCTTATGGAACAGGCCCCTCAGGTGAGGAACCATTGAGCTATATCATGTGACTGTGTAGGTGTCACGTCAGTTCACTGGTCCGTCTATATTAGGACCATTAAAAGGAGTCAATTGAGGTGGTTTGAGCATCTAAGATGCCTCCTGGATGCCTGCCTTTGGGTTTTACCAGGCACATCCTTCAATATCTCCTCTCTGACCTGGGAACATCTTGGGGTCCCTCAGAAGGACCTGGAGAGTGTTGTTGGGCTGAGAGAGGTCTGGGATTCTCTCCTGGACTCGTTGCCTCTGTGACTCAACCATAGACAGGAAGGTGGAGAATTTAATTCTGACCAAACCGATGAGTTAACAGCTAGTCAGAGCGGGGCCAAGACTGAGCTGGATTACGACTGTCAACTAAAAAAAAGGGCAAAACAAAAAACTAAACAAAACAAAAAAAGAGCAATTCAAGCAAAAATAAAAAAATGTGTCATAAACGTTTACATTACAATTCAGTTTACACAGATGCTGTGTACACAGAATCTTCAGGTCATAATATAATGTTTATAAAAAAGTGTCTTCAAGAACCACTTTGAGATTTGAGTTGTTTAAAATGACAATAGTCCACTTTAGCTTTGACCACACTTGGATTAAAACTGAGCTTGTCAGACTGGTCAGAATTAAACTGTATTTCTTCAAACTGAGGTGGTTCATATGATCTAAAACACGTAAGATATTAATTGTTCAGAACCTTTCCACAGAACCCAACTTCAAAAGATCTAAGCTCTCCCATGAAGAGTTAATGATGTTCTGCACAGACGAGAGCTGTCACATAAACAAGGGAGAGTACAGTCAATAAAGATGAATATGACAAAGAAAATCAAAAATGAATGATTTTTGTAAAACTGCAGGAGACTGAGACATTAGAATATGACATAAAATATATATTTTATACCAATATTTAATCATAAATCCTTATGTTTTACAAAAACAAACTGTTTCAAATGATGAAAACATGACCTCCCTGGTCCCTCATGCCCATTATCATATAAGCTGTAGCCAGTATTTAGAGATTCAGTATTCTCTTTCACATTTGCACATCATTAGAATTTGTAAAAGCGTCTCATTGAAATCCCGCTGAATAACACGGGCATGTTTCAGTTGCAACTCGTGTTTGTGATGCTTTGAAATGCTAAAGAGGTTCTTCCCACCCTGTATGGGTTCAATGATGCTCTCCGTCGGTCCAGCACCACTAAAATGGACCCTAGTGGTTCCACAGAAAGAACACCTCTTTGGTTGGGCTATGATAAATGACATGTTTTGCTTTAAAAAAATTAAATAAGTTTTTTTTGTACGTAGAAACTGCCATGTTTTTTCATTGTGATATGTTACATAATGTAAAGCCTGATTCACTTGTAGCAAATAAAACCGACCCTTTAAAGTGTATAATTATTCATCAGTACTGTGAACTTTTTTAGAGTCCTGTTTTTTTTATTTAGGCGCAACTTTAAAATGGGATAAACTCTTGTTTGAAACGACCTGAACAGATTCAGTGGCTACAGCAGCGTTTAGCTTTGTGTGTTCTTTCTAACCTGTATAAAAGGGAGTTAAAACAAAAAGCTCAGCGTTCTGCATTCATTATGTCCAACCACACACACACACACACACACACACACACACACACACACACACACACACA